GCTATCTTTTTCACTTTGGGTGGAAGTCGTTTGCCATAACTAAGTTTGTTCATAAATAGCTTCCAAGCTTCTTCGTCCGAAAGAACTTCCACTTTTAGATAGTTTTGGCATTCCATATTGCGACACACCTCTAGTGATCGACTAATTACTATCATCTTAAATCCATGTAGAGAGGGAGAAATTCCAATCCTCTGCAACAAAAAAGGAGTCCAGACATCGTCCAACACGAGTACAAATCTCTTTTTTCTCTCCAATGCCCAACCCAATTTGGCTGCCCTCTTGTACTCATCATCTTCACCGGAAAGATCTAGATTCAGGGCCTTTCCAATGTCATTCTGCAACTTGTATATGTTTGAATCTTGCGAGACGGTGAACCAGAATATATTTTTGCAGAATGAAGTTTCATTCTTGAGCTCATTGTAGATACATTGTGCCAGAGTTGTTTTGCCAACTCCTCCCATACCATAGACACCAATACTTGAGACCTCATTCCCCAATAAAGAAATCCAAATTGTCTCCAAATTTTCTTTAAATGATTGGCCTCTCCATTCTACAGTTACGAATTTCTCCTCTATTGTCTCACTAACATCTAGTAAAACCCCCTCAGAAAATATTCCTTGATCAAGAAGTCCCGTCACTTCCTCAATCATTTCATCAGCACGTTTCGTCAAGGTCACACGCGAAATACGACTATTTTGGTTCACTTGTGCTTCCAAGCTTTCGAATTCTTTTTGCTTTGATACTACTTCGCTCAGCCAATATTTGACCACACTTTTTGGCCTTTTCCCTAGGTGACGTTCTTCCTCTCTTAGCCTTGCAACCATATCAGCTTCTTGACAGCTGAGTAGTTCAACCTTCCTCTTAAGATTTTGCATTTTTTTCTCAAGGTTGTAATAATCGCTCGCCACATTCACCAAAACATTTGCTAGCATGTCACCCATTGTATTGCCTACAGATAAGACACCCAAAGCAAATCACAAAAACCCAACCTCAGTAAAAGAACAGAAAAGGAAGAAGATAAAATTAGAGCATTTAGGTTTTGACTCTAGGAAAGGATAACAATAAGCACATCAAAATCTTTGTATAATAACATTAGGAAAGGATGATGCAAGAAAAATAAATTGCCCGAAAATTCAAAATTAATAATTAGTTATTCTGAAAGACAAGGTGTTTTTTACTTCCGAAAGTCAAAATTAACACTGGAGTTTTAACTGAAAGAAGCTGATGAGCTAGAAGAGAAGATAAACTAATATGCCTTGTGTTCTTGTAATTGTTTCCCAGCTGATGAATGGAATGGAAATGTGAAGATAATTCAACGGCAGACTTAGGAAGAAACAGGCTAGGTTCCTGGATGGGTATGAGTGGGACTTCAACAGTAAGTCTTCATTTTTAATGCTAATATAAGTTTGAATTGGCTTATACTATTAATAAATATGGCCTTTTGTTAATGATTGAAGCAAACTGAAGTTTAGTTAATTAATTAATTGATGTTTAAGTAAAATTATAGTTATTGTTAATAGACTATTTTGATGGTAAGCCCCTTCTCGGTGGAGATTAAAATCAAATTTGTAGTAAATTTTGATAGAATTTGATGAAATGTATAGTTAAAAAATTTTGAACTCCATAAAATGTGTGATTTAAATTAATTGTATAAATCAATGGTATAAATCAACAATTTCCCGTTTTATTTATGCCTGCTTCTATAAATAATTTTTATTAGTAATAAATCTGATAGAAAATCAGAGAGCTATCTTACCATGTATTGTCAAACCAAGCCGGTGGAAATGTGAAATGTAAATTTATTTCACTGATGGAGCAGGTTGACCCTGAGTTTGATCTTAATAAGATGAAGCTTAAAAATCGATTCAACAATTAATTAAAAATTGTTTAAACAATATAGGATTAGATAATTTTAATATGAACTATTTATCGTATAATTGTCATTCCTGCATGTTGATCATCTCATCATGAATATAGTCTTCATCTACTTTAATTTATACCGATTGGTTATACAAGAAAAATTGAAGGCAAAATACAAACTCAGCAAAGACGACGTGGAAGAATAATGCCACCATAAGCATAAAGTAGCTAGAAGATTGTTATTATGGGTGAAACTCCAACTATAGAAAAGAGTTATAAGAGCATCCCCAATCGTAATATAAAATAGATTTAAATTGTAATCTAGATCTCTAAACTGGATGAAAATCTCTTCAATGGCGAGATGTTAAGGAAATGTAAATTGCATTTTTCAACAGAAAATAAAAAAATAATAATAATAAATTATTTATACATTTGTGAATCCTAAATTTTCCACAAACTCCATACAATCCTATTCTAGATAATTTGATTGGCAACGTGGATTGGATTATAATAACTCGTTATATTATTTTCACTCGAAAAAAATTTATTGTTAGAGTTATGGCTACGTCAACTTTTTTGCTTGGTTATTTGGTAAATTACCTTTTCTACGTGAAATTAATCATATTTAATGTTTATTTTTCTAATTCTTTCCAGGAATTTTTTGTATATCTGTTGCAAACCTCGTCAAAGAAACATTTGTACAAGTATATGGAAGTGAAACACCTGACTGTTCATATATCATTACTTCCACTTAATTAGCACTCAATTTCTGAAAATTCTTTTTTTTCTGAAAACTTATTTTCTACTATATAATATAATATAATATAATATAATATAATATAATATAATATAATATATAAAACTCAAGAAGATAATATTATAGCATTTAGATATTGACTCTAGGAAAGGATGACAATAAGCATATCAAAATCTTTGTATAATAACATTAGCAGAGTATGATGCAAGAAAAATAAATTGTATGAAAATTCAAAATTAATAATTAGTTATTCTAAAAGACAAGGTGTTATTTACCTCTCAAAGTCAAAATTAACACTGGAGTTTTAACTGAAAGAAGCTGATGAGCCGGAAGAGAAGAGAAACCAATCTGCCTTGTGTTCTTGTAATTGTTTCCCAACTGATGAATGGAACAGAAATGTGAAGATAATTCAGAGGCAGACTTAGGAAGAAACAGGCTCTTTATTATCAGTAACAGAACAGAAAAGGAAAAAGATAAAATTATAGCATTTAGATCTTGACTCTTGGAAAGGATGACAATAAGCGCATCAAAATCTTTGTTTAATAACATAAGGAAACGATGATCCAAGAAAAATAAATTGTATGAAAATTCAAAATTAATAATTAGTCATTCTGAAAGACATGGAGTTTTACCTCTCAAAGTCAAAACCAACTCTGAAGAAACCAATCTGCCTTGTGTTCTTGTAATTGTTTCCCTGCTGATGAATGGTTTGGAAATGTGAAGATAATTCAACGGCAGACTTGGGAAGAAATAGGCAATGGGTATGCGTGGACTTCAACAGTAAGTCTTCCTTTTTAATGTCGATATAAGTTCCAATTGGCTTATATTATTAATAAATATATAGCCTTTTCAATGATTGAAGCAAATTGAAGTTTAGTTAATCAAATAATTGACGTTTAAGTAAAATTATAGTTATCACTAATAAACTATTTTGATGGTAAGCTTCTGTTCGGTAGAGATTAAAATCAAATTTTTAGTAAATTTTGATAAAAATTGATAAAATGTGTAGTTGAAAAATTATGAACTCCATAAAATATGTGATTTAAATTAATTGTTGACTTTTAGTTTAAATTAAAATTTTAATTTTAATCCTACTAATTAGAGGCTAAAAAGTGTTCAAGAGACAGTAATATTTATCTTTATCGTGAATTTGGATAGATTCCTAAGTGATAATGGTAGTAACCTTGCACTAACAAAGAACCTTCGTAGAAAGTGTTTCATAAAAGATTGATTGTTGGCCCACAATTGAATAGAAATACTTGCATTATCTAGCTTTTCTGTCACATGGTTGACGAACTGTTTTCGGGCCATCCCACCACATTGTGGAATTAGGGTGAATGGGTATTTATGTGCAAGGCATTGTTGTCATTTGACCATCTAGCTCTAGGGCAATTATGGAAATAAAAAAATTGGGAATATGAACGATTGATATCCTACATATATAAAAGAGCAGAGCATTAGCGGGACACGCGTCGATCATATATTTCGTCTTGTACTTTCTTTCTTTTTTTTTTTAATTATTGTTTCTAGCTTGAACCATACAGTTTCTCCATCATTTTCGGCTAGCCCATTCCTCTACTATTGATTGTGTAAGAAGGCATGGTTTCTCTCCTTGGTTCATCCCCTAATTCATCGAGTTCTTCTCTGATTCGCTACCATAACAATTGCAATTTGTAAAGTTTTCCATTTCCATACGGTTAGAGATTCATCAAAATTTTAGCAACATCATTTGCCTGCTTCAACTTTAGCTTCAACGTAATGTGATTGATTAATTTTATGAAACTGGTGTAATGTGGAACTCATACAATGCATTTCTCTCTTCAATTGTTAATATTTGTCTTTAATGGTGAGTTGAAGTAGTTTGGTTTGTAGTTCTAATTGATTGTTGTAAAAGTATTTGATCAATTGCCTAAGTGTACCTTCAAACTGATTTTGATAATATGCACTAGGATTAAAGTTCATTTTGTTTATAGATTGTTTGCTTATTCCATATTTCATTTGCTCAGTTCATTTTGTACATTGTTGGTGAGAGAATAAAAATATTTATTTTAACAAAATGCCAAAAAAATGGAGAAAAAAATAATAATGAAAAAAAATACAGAGAGCAAAAGCTCCGTGCAGCACGGCGCGCACAGTGCAAGGAGATTTTTTTTTTTTTATTTCTCCATTTTCTCTCTCTTTCTTCCAAAGAGTTCCCTAGAAACTTATTGTAAGTATATATATAGAATATAAACTTGGGCCATTCTACAAGTACATAGGGGGCTACCTAAGGGTGTCCATAATGGACACCCGGCGGCCCCCTATTGGAGGGGGCGCCTGGCCCACCGGCGCCCCCCTCCAATAGGGGGACACCCTATGTACTTGTAGAATGCCCATATATATATATGTGTGCGCGCGCATAAACCCATAATTATTCTGGCCTTAATTTGATAGATATCTGAGAGCAAAGTTTCCCAAGTAGAGAATGTCGTCTTCTGTGGTAAAATTTGCTTCTCAAGAAAGTAATCATGAAGAAGGGAATCAAGAACTGTTTGATATGATCCACGCAGGTGATCCAACGGCTCCAAACCTCTCACTTCCAGCTGAGACTTTTCTCAAAGCTGCAATTTCTCTCAAGGACAAGGTATAATAAATATATTTTTTTTAAACTTATTAATATGGTTTATTCGGATAGTAAAGCGATTATTTGCTCTGTACACTGTAAAACTTTTTGTGGGTTTAGATTGTGGGTGTTAAATTCTTACAAAAATATAATTATCTAGCTTATGTTTAGTTTAATAGCGCCTTAATTTCGATCGACCGCGATGGTTTCCTGTGTACGATGTTTTTTGGGTTTGGAATTATGAGTGTGATATTGATGACATACTTATGAAATCAGGTTGTGGAAGTGACGTGGAAAGGTCGGGGCAGTAATGGGAGCTTGGACCCGACAGTGTATACGGGTCTTCTGGGTGCAGCTTTCACCTGCTTGAGATCTCATGAGGCCACCGGTAACCACCGAGACCTGCAATTGTGCGTCGAGATCGTGGACGCCTGTGCTGCCGTGGCTCATTCCTCTGCCAGGTGGAGTAATTTATTTATTTTTTAATTTAATAATGCCGAGTGCTTTTTATAATTTTTT